CCATTTTTCCTTCAGACAGAGAGCTACAAGTGCTGCTTTACAGTAAATACCATTTTTACACGGACTCTGCTGAGAGGGAGAAGCCATTCCTGCACTGGGGGCACAGGTGCTGATGAGAGTGCAGACTTGCCACAGCTAATTACTACTAAACAGTTCTAATTACCATTGGAGGTACCTGATTTGGGCAATGCATTTCTTACTTGGAACATGATAAATATCTTGAATTTATCTTCCATATTTACAAGGCTCAAAGTTTCTGAATTGTCCTTTATCGTTTACCCAGTTATTTTTTAATCTGTCTGTAGAACAGGAAAGATTCTAATACCGAACAGTTTTGGAAATACTAGGACAATAGCTCCTAGGTAAGAATAATACGTAGTTGTTGAAAATGCTAAGTATTCATTTTAATTAAGGAAAAAAATAAAAAGCTGCCACATGATTTTGGCAGAGTAGGAAAAATCCTTTTGTTCCTTGCTGTAAATTAAATGCACAATATTTTGTGCTGGAATTTTTACAGATATAATTGAGTAAACTCCTTCTTTTCCCTACGGATTTCCTTGGTTTTTCTACTACTTTTTCTCTTCCAACTTTTCCTCTAGAGAGCATTGGTCCTCTTGCCCTGTCTCCTGTCTGAGTGTAGGAGTTATCTTCCCTTGCTTTTGTTCAATGACAAAGCTGACTTGGATCATTCCTCACTTTATTGACTTGCTTATCTTTTATTACATGTTACTTAGAGATACCTATTATCTTCGGATTATACTCTCTAATTTTCCCCATCTGTTGTTCTTTAACTCCTTAATTGTGTTACTTAATTCAGTAAAACATTGCAGGATAGAGTTTATGTGTAACATGTTGTACAAATTAAAACTAATTCTAATGAGACAAATTGCAGTGACCAGATTTTGTTAAGTATGTGACCTTTAGTGGAGCAGGTCAGTCTAATTTTAGTCCAGTTGTAAAGAAAAGTTAGATTGAAGAATAGGCACTAATTAAAAGGGCACAAAACCTCAGGAACATTTTATTTTATTTTATTTTGATCAGTCCATTGGACTGAAATGTTTTAAACCCAGGAATCCTAATTTTAAAAAGAATGTAAACGAGCTACCAACAGGGATGAATTAATTCTCATCTCTCTCAGCTGCACATTCTGTAGCCAGAGCAAAGCTGGTGGGCAAAGTGCTAATTTCTTGGCATTGGTGGCAGCTGGCCCTTTCTTAAAATCAGGAGTCATATCTTACATTAGTTTTATTTTGAAAAGCAGGTGAACAGTATTAACTTTCCAGTATTATTGTTGCAAGAAGAGAGGACAGGAAACAATCTTATTTTGCACTCAAGTCCCATATCCAGTCAAAGGAACCAGTGTTTGTCTGATGGTTTTTACCAGCTGCTACAGAGAGGTGTGTGAGCTCCCCTGACTTATTCCAAGATGCATTTGAATTGTGGATAAGCTGAAAGGCTCCTGAAGAAAAGAATCAGGTTTGTTAGGCTGTGTTTTTCCTCATTTTAGCTAAACCATTGGTTCCATGTGCTAATGGCTAACTCTGGGAGTTTGCAGTTTTACTATGGAATCAGCATACTGGGAAAGATACAGGTTTGGCTGTGAAGAAATTGCTCTGAGTGACTCGTTCTTTAAGACTTTGTATTAAACTCTTTAGACATTAAAGGCAAGCTGAGTTCTTTATTGGATAATGCTGCATGGTGATCTCCTAGCCTATTTGAGTGGGAGAAATAATTAAAAATTAGTGTTCAACCACATTAAATGCTTCTTAATCAAGCTGTTTCTCAGGCAGTTGTGTAAAAATAGTCTTTTTAAATTTGCAAATCTGTGTGTTGAAAAAAGTTTGGAAAATAACTGGTAGATCCTCAAAGAGTGGGGGTTTTTTGTGTTTGAAAAGGGAGAAAACCTAAGCACAATGCATCAGTGCTGAATTTTTGGATTTCATATAATGTGTTATTTACAGTACCTTTGTAACTTTGCAAGTTGTGTTTAAGTAGTTGTTTTAATGTTTTAGATCTGTAGTTCAAATGAAGATTCATTCTATGGATGTTTGTAGGCTCTGTGTTCCAATTAAGTGATTTATGTTCTCTTACTGGCAAAAATAAAAAAATGTCTTAATGTATTCTATTGCTCTGTTAGATAGTTGAATTTCCACTTAGGATGCAATAGGCAGCGTTAGAGCAGAAAGCTAAAACCAGCACTACGGCAAAGACTGCAGAGGCACTTAGGAAACGTCAGCACTTTTGGATGGTTCTTTTTTTTCCTTTCCAATCCTTTTATCAGTGAGGCACTTGCAATTCACATTTGAAGATCGGGAAAACAATATTAGACTTGCAGAGGGAGTTCATCTGTGTCGAAATCATTTTAGCTAAATTAAAATAAAAACTAAGAAAGGTATTGGCTTGTGCCAGCTCTTGCTGGAGTCTGGGTTGGGCTGACATGAGCTGTGAGCCACAGCTGCTGGGTTTTGTCAGCTCCTGCCTCCCTCCTCTGTGCAAAGTGGCAATCCAAGTTCTTCAACATCTCCGTGGCTCCGTTCCCCCAGCTCAGAAATGAGGATGCTGTTTCCTCTGGGGTTGTTTGCTGTAGAAGCTGTTGGATGAGCCTTTGCCGTTCTCCCTGGGTTCCTCTGTGATCTGCTGCCTGTCCAGGCTGTCCCCATCACTGCACTGCACCAAGCTGGGGCAAGCTGCAGGGTGGGTGTGCTCTGTGCCCTGCTGCAAAGTTGTGTGCCAGGTGAAACTGCGCAGAACTTGCCTGTCTTTGTCAAAACAGGAAGGATAATTCAATCTAGAAACGTTTGCTTAGCTCAACACGGGTGTTTGATCAGGATGCAGAAGAGAGTGTTTTGGCTGTCAGGTGCTTTCTCCACAGAGCAACTCTTGAAAGGAGGGTGCTGCTGATGGACTGGCACATTCTGGTTTGTCCTCAGGTCAAGTGATTTCACCTCTCTAACACTGTGTCTTAGGGTGAAGTTTTTTGGAATTCTGTTATTCCCTAGGTCTGGGATTTTCCAGATTTCCCCTTTAGGATACATTGTGTTCCCCCAGGCATTGGACTTGCCTGTCATTACAGAAATGGGGGGCTTGAAACTCCTGTCTAAGAAATAGGAAATCTATTAGTAATCACCACCTTTTTTTTTTCCAGATTTGCTGTTTATTTTTCTTGAATACTGCCATATTTTTCCATCTGCTTTTTGTTTTGGTCTCACGTTAATTTATCTGGTTTTCTACAGTTACTATTAATAACTAATATTTATTTTGCATACCATTGCTACCATTGCTGTAGGCTTCCCATTATGTCTGCTATGAGAAGCAGGGAATAAAAAGCTGGAACTTTTAAGATAAACTCAGTAGACAAGTTTCTTGTTACAGCCTTCTGCTACCTCAGAGCAAATTTGGTGAAGTGCACAGGCTGAGGTTTGTTTGCTTGTGAAAGATGCTTAACAAAATTGTGGCACAACGTCAGGAAACAAAGAGAAACTCGTCTTGACCATCTCAAAACAGGATGACTTTAATTGTGAGAAGGCAGTTACAGGAAAAGAAACATTGGTGACTTTTCTTCCATGCTGTGTCACTAATGCCATGCAGGCTGTCAGTTCTTCAGCCCACTAGAGAGATTTATGGAATCAGTCCACAATCCAGGAGATTGGAAGAGGCAGGATTGTTAGCTAGAGGAGAGTGCCTTATAGAGAATAAAAACAATACACTTTACAAGAAGGTTTTCATGGAAAACAGATTAACTTCCTGCAGTCCGCTGGTTTTGCCTGGCTGCAGGTTAAAAGTTAAGTATAAAGACAAAGCAGAGATGAAATATATAAATTAGCCCTTGCAGAACACAACAATGTTATGAAGTATCACTTGAAAACCTGATCTATTTTTACACATGACTTGAAATGCATAATAAAATACTAGACAAATGCAACTTGAGATGGTGGATTAAGCGTGGTTTTATTTGACCACACAATTCCACTTTTTCAAGCCCTTTTTGTTCTGCTTTGCGTGTGTCTCCCTTTCAGATCTTACTCACTTTTGCCTTGCTAAGCCATTTTGTCACACTTTTACCACAGCTCTGCTGTGCCTCACTGTCACACCGAAGTGACAGCCTGAGACTTCCTCCTTCTGGGTCTGAAATACCCTTTACTTTGTCTCTTCTCTGTCCGGGTTGCCTGATCATTTGTCTGGGTTGAAGGTCTGTCTTTAAAGAACTAATATTTTGTTGCTGGCAAAATAAAGGGAAGGTGAAGGAGGGGTCAGAGTGTGGATCAGTGTTAAACAAATTGTGAAGGTCACAAAGAATTTTAATCTGACTTGAAAAAGAGACTTGTATCCAGCAGCACATTTTTGTTTGTGATAGTCTGAATGGACAATTGTGGCTACTTTGAGAATTTGGTGTAGACTGCATGACTGGTATAAATTGAATTAGTCTCGTGACAAGGACATAGTCCCCTTTTTTCTTATCTGCCTGATGGAAAGCAGAAGAAAGCCCTGCGTGGCACGCCTTGACCTGCAATGTCAATGTGGGCTTTGTGACAGGCTCTGATTTCTGGCCTCTCATTTGATAAAACCAATTTGGTGGAGGCTAGAAAGGAGCTTGCTGAACACTAAATGTACTTACAGAAAAGGGTGTCTGGGGGTGAGTACAGAGAGCTGCCAGCCCCTCCTAATCATCATTAGAGTGCCAGAGTTTCTTTCTGAAAATGGGGCAGAGCCTTGGGGACGCTCTCACCCCAAACAATGCACTGTGCAGTTCTCTGCAGAATCACCTTTACTTGTCCTTTGGTCATCACTGAGCCTTCCCTTCCCCATTTGCTTATTTCTTACATTTTTCTTTCGCACTCTTCTGCTGCCTTTCTTTCTTCTTCCATTCCTGTCTTGCCCCTTTGTCCCCTAAACTAGACTGAAACCTCTCCCCCGTCTCTATGCTGAGAGGGCAGCAGCAGCAAAATCGGGGTAAATGCTGTTTTTCCTTAGCATGAAAACATCCCCAGCTTTCTGATTCCATGTCCATCTCCCAGCCATTCCTGATGCCCTCCTCCTTGCCTCCACCGCACTGGTACAGGGCTGTGAACCTGGAACTATTTATAGTTCATCAAGGGGAAAAGCACCTGAATGGAGGCTGGGTAACAGGAAAATGTTACCTGCACTCACAATGCAGATCAAACAATTTTTTAATGTGCTTTAAGTAGTAGGAAGACTTTTTGAATCGCTGTTGGTTGTTCAGGTTTTTTGTTGTTTGTTTTTAAACAAGGTTAAAAATGCAGTTTTCCCCATTGATACATAATGCAGCAGGATTTTAGTGCAGTAGATTAAGATCTTGTCAGTGTAAATTTAAAAAGCTCACATGAGAATGATTGTCATGTTTTTCCTGAATATTAATTTCAAATAAGAAGCAGGGGTAGCCAAGTATTTTTGCAGTCAGTAAACAAATAGGAACATGCTGAGAAAATTACATTTACACTACAGGGTTGCAATTCCAAGGCATGAGATTTGGCTGCAGGTACTGTGACAGTGAATCATGGCATTGTGCCAGCATCATGATCATGATCAGATTTGAGTTTTCTCAGAATTCTGTCATTTGCATCAGGGATTCTGGTGGGTTTGGTTTGAGAGTCTTTTCAGCTCATTCCACAGACCTCTAGAGGAGAGAAACAAAATTGAAAATACTGTGTGGTGTAACAAATCCACCAACATCTACTTTTCCAAGCACGTGGAGGTTCCATTAGTTCATGCAGATTTGAGAAATGTGTTCTCTTTTTTAACACAATGTATTTTTTTTTTTTCTGTTCTTTTATTCAGAGACCTGAGCGAAAACCAGATAAAAGGAATCCCTAGAAAGGCCTTTCGAGGAATCATTGATGTGAAGAACTTGTAAGTGACAACTTCATTAATATTTGTGGTGAAAACCTTTCTCCTCACATTACATCTGGCTGTTATTATCCGTTTGAGTAACTTGTGCTCAGCTCTGTGCAGCACCAAAGGGACCCTGCAGGGTTTTGTCAGAGGCCTTAGAGGCTGTTTTGGTCCTCATGCCTGTGAACACACCTGGGGAGGTTTTGAGCTGAAGGAAGAGAACATACTCAAAGGCTTCACCCCTTCCTGCAGTACTGTCCTGGAGCAAGATGTACATAGGAAAAATGACTGGTAGAGTTTGGGGATGGAATTGAAATGTTTTGCTTAGTTTTAGTTTTCTGTTCCATCGCTTCTGTCAAAAGTATGACAAACTGTGGCACTCAGGCACGGTGGTTGAACACAAATATCAGAAAATGAAAAAATAATGGGAGCAGTTAAATGCACAGGCTTTGACAGCCTGCATTTAAAATTAAAATAATTTATAAAAGACTTTTAAGAGAGAAAACAGGGCTTTGGGTTTTGGTTAATGGAGCCAGTCTGTTGTAGCCTTTTGCTGTAAGGTAGTCTGAAATACGTGTAAAGACTTTGAGCTCTGTATTTCCAGAGCTGTTGGGGGCTCTTACAAGTTCTAGAACAGAAACCCATTTTCATGCACACCCACACTCTAATGCACCCTTGGCTTTGTTGGAGTCAGCACGAGGTGAAGTGAACAAGGAAATAACAGCCACTGACTCGGCAGGGTCGGGATTTCCTGGGACAACCTGCAGCCACTCTCAGAAGCATTTCAGAGCCATTAGAGTTAGCACTGTGTTACCACATCAGTAGCTGGAAACTGATCCCCACTGTGTTAAATATTGGAAGCACAGCATAAATGGTGTGGATTTTTTTTAAATTGAGTAGAAGAAAGAGCTAAAGGAGATCTGAAAAGAAGCCTTTTTCTACAAAGTCTTGCAATATACTCATGCTCTGTTTTCAGATCTTGCCCCAGTGGAATGCTCTCAGGCATGTCATGTGATTCCTGGGGCATCCTGAGAAGGGCCAGGAGTTGGACTCGATGGTCCTGAAGGATCCCTTCCTTTTTGTCATGTTAAGTTTTACTTGCATTATGTGATATATAGGAACAATAGGTGGTATTTTGTTTCAGAAAATCTAACTTCCCCAGTTGTAATTCACTGTTAGTTGTCTGACTTCATTTTAAATAACAAAGTTTGCATTCAGAGTTTAGTTCACCTCTGACAAGCTGTCACAACAAGCACAGGTGTTTTGATTTATACACCCACTCTCAGTGCAGAAAGATCCAGGGTTTCTCCTTTCCATGAGCTGATATCAAGGGATGACTGGCTGGAGTGCTTACAGGAACTGTGTAAATGTTGGGATTCAAAAAAAAGCTTTAACAAAAACTTGCATCTGTCAAGTTAGGCAGTATCTATTGTTTAGCTGTAAAAGACACAGTATCAGAAGTACTTCCCTGTAGCCACAGTTTCTGACTTCCGTGAGCACTGAAGTTATCACAGAGTCAGAAAATAATTCTGGTTTGCAGTGGTCATCTAGTCCAGCTCAGCAGGAGCACAAAGGTTGGCACTCTTAAAAGATTGCTGTTGTGAGCGAGGAGTACGGATTATTTAGATAAATAGCAGGAGAAACAGACTTTTCACTCATATCTAGACATTCTTTCTTGATAAGAAATGTATGAATCCTGTGCCCAGGGTGGTCCATGGGAGCAGGTGGCTTTTGCTTCCAGACACAGAGAAGTGGCCTGTGACTTGCTGAGAAAAACATGGCACAATCTTGAGCCAGCTTGCTGTTGGAAATGTGGAAATGCATTAAAACTTCTCCAGCTATAACTGTAGGTGTGTGATGCAAGCTGAACCAAGTTCATAGTTAAAGCTCTTTAAGCAGCGAGCTCAAACATGCTGATTCCTATTTTCAGCCTGTGTTTGGTACCCAAGTCTCTCCCTTCTGGGTCCCAGCAGTGACCATGGCAGTGAGCAGGGGTGTTCACCTGCCTGAGCAGGAGAATGAGCTCTGCCTCGGGGTGCCATTGAGCTGTGCCAGCACCTGCCTGGTGACTGTGACACGAAGGTGCTGATGGCGCAGCAGCAGACTTGGCTGTTTCTATGGTTATCACTTGGCAGATTTATTGTACTGTCTCAGTGTTCTTCCACTTTATATATAAAGCGTGTTTGTGAGGGATCTTGGAGACTTTTGGGCACAAGAAATAAAGCTAAAAATTGTCCCATGCTCCTCAGCCCCTTCCAATTTATATTTAGAATTTGTATAGGGAAAGGCTGAAAGGAATGGTCTCTGTTTTCATGGCTTGACCTTTAACATGGACTCATATTCTTCCAGGTTATTCCAAGTGTCCCAATTTCATGGCAAAAGTAATAACTCTGGAGAGATCTTAATAGGGACACAGCTAGACCATATGAAATTCTCCAGATTAATGCTGTATTTAACAGCAGCTTGGAGAGCTTCCCTCAGGACAAAATGCAGAGTTGATGCAATAGAACCGAGCCAGGGCATGAATTCCTTTTGGATACCAGCTCTGAAATATGCAGCCTGAGGGCTCAATATAAATTACAGCGGTGCCATGTGGAAACCCTGTGAGAATTACCCTGTCCCAGCATGGCCATAGCAGTGATGGACACAGAGTCACAGGTTGTGTCCAGCTGGAGCAGGCTGGTGTAAAAAAAAAAAATCTTCCAAAGGCGGAGGTGCTGCTGCACATGCGAAGCAAAGAGAGTCTTTGGTGATATTCCCCAAGCACCAGGGCTGCAGAGCTGGCTTGATACAGGAAAAAATGTTTTACAAAAATTGTTAAAATGATGGGGGGGAGGAAATGTTATAAAAAGCAGTGTTTCAAGATATTTTTCGCTGTGTCTTTCTTTTTAAATGGTAAAAGCTTTCTATCTTTTATTGTTCTCGTAGCAGAGCAGGGAGGCCAGGAAAATGGGCTCGGATTAGGACTGTACTAAAGAAGTTTTAAATGTCAGGGAGCCCAGTGTTTTTGAAAAAGACAAAGCATAAGCAGAGACTGGTGTTTTTCAAACTCCTAAGTGGGAGAAATTTCGTTGTGTGAATTATTTTCATATGAAGTGTTTTCTGCTGTTTGAGTACAAAACTCAAAGAATCTGCACACAAATAAATTAGCGAGTTTATTTCTAACTGAAATGTAGAAATAATTATACAGCTTTTAGGAAGTTTCATGAGCACATAATGTCCATTACCAGTAGTGAATTTATTTGGGAATTAGCAAAAACTGTCACTTTGAACATATTGTGGAGTAGATGGATAAACTCTGCTCAGTGGCCCTAAGAGCTGAACAGGAGAGGGCAAGAGAGGGCCAGCATGCAGAGCACACCTGTATCCAATTTCTGTTACTTATTACTTAGAGAACAGGAAATGTTTCTTGCAGGAATCTAGCCCCAAGTAAGCACATTTATTTCAAGAGTTAAAGTATATGGGTTTGGGTCTCATTGAGCTTTGGGCTAACTCAGCGCTGTCAGCCATGGTCTTCCATCATAAAAGTATATAGAGCTGCTTCTTGGATTTCTGCACGTTTCCCCTGCTCATATCACATCTTGGCATTCTGGAGAGTGTTTCTCTGGTGAGGCATTCCTGCAGTTGTTCAGCCCACCTTACTGAGGGCAGCCAGGATCCCAGTGCAGGGATATACAGAGCTTGATGTTAGGAAGAAATTCCTCCCTGTGAGGGTGGGGAGCCCTGGCACAGGCTGCCCAGAGCGGCTGTGGCTGCCCCTGGATCCCTGGAGGTGTTCCAGGCCAGGCTGGACAGGGCTTGGGGCACCCTGGGATAGTGGAAGGTGTCCCTGCCCATGGCAGGGAGTGCAACAAGATGATCTTTATGATCCTTCCCAACTAAAACCATTGGATGAGTCTACGAACATCTCCCAGCCAAGGAATGCAAAACAGGAATCCATGTGCAGTGTTGGATGCAGGGCAGAATGACAGAGCAGCAGGGCAGAGGGGGAGCCACCCTGAGCAAGCAGCCACCCTGTGTGAGCACCACGGACAGCTGGGGCCACACAGAATGACACAGGCACTGCTTTTTCTGTCACAGGCTGCTGCAGTTTCTTGTTCTTGATTCACTGGAACTCAGTTCCATCCATGTTCAGCCCCTGCCTTTTATCTCTCATAGGCTTTGGCTATAAGATTCTGTAGCACTGGGATTCAGGCAAAGAAAAAAAAAACGTTAACAGAAAAAAGAAACGTTAGCAGAAAGAAGTGAACAGGTAATGTGTCATGATAATACAGGCTCATTGCATTTCTATCTGAACACTTCTTAGCCTCACCTGAGATAATAGCTCCTGTCACTGGACTTGCAAGAGGCTTTCCCTGCATCCTGGGGCCACTTGGCAAATTGTGGGTAATATTCTCCTGGATAGCCCTAAAGGTTCTTGTGGAGGAATAAATGAAGCATTTAGATTTATGTTTTTAAAAATACAGAAATGCATCAGCACATATGTAATGTTTAACACTTCTGCAAGTCAGTACACATTTATTTTCCTAGTGGTTAAATTACCTCTGCAGTGTGGAAAATCAGAGCTCTGTAAGTACTGTAAAATATTGTTGTACTTATTAGTTTCAGATCCTTGTTTGTTAAATGGTTTTTCCTGGAAGATTCTGTTACTTTTTCTGCATGCATCTACTATTAGCATCAATCCATGGAACTTCTTCAAAAATTAAACATCTCAATTGCACATTCAGGTTTTGGAAAAAGCTGAACTTACTCTTTACATTGAGAAGTATTTTGCATTCACCTACACAAAATATTAAAATGTTCCTACATAATTTTTCTTAACCATCAGAGCCAGCTTTTCAGAGTATTATTTGTAGCTTCTGCCATTCAGCCATAGGAATAATTAAACATACCTGTCAAGTTAAACTAATGAATAAACTAATGAATAAAGCAAATAATGGTTGATTTGTGTGTAGCCATTTCACTAGAAGAAAGCAAGTGATTGTGAGTTATTTGCCATACATAAATATGCAGTAGAT